GACACCCAAAAAAATTTCCTTTGAAGATAATGCGAAGAGTTAAACTGTGTTATGTTCCTTTATACTAAGTCAGAGGGTGGAATTAAAAAAAAAAAAATCACACTCTCAGAAGTTCCCGAAACTGCTTCTATAAGCAGCTAAGTTTGTTTCTTTACAAATAAGATGAGAGCAAAATCTACATAGCCATGGTGACCTTCTACTCTCAGGCAGTTTTCCCCACCATCATTCTACATAAAGCTCCTCTTCTGAAGTAACTGTATGTAATTAACGACCCAGAACAGGCAGGTAGACTCCACCATCTTAGCTATTAGTAGTCTACGGCTATTCGTGCTACTTATCGAAGCTACTTCTGAGAGTTCTTTGTATCCTTTCAAATGAAGTATTCTTCTGAACTGGAAAAAGAACCAGGCTGAAAGAAGACTAAGTCAGGAAACAAAACACAGCTACCATTTTTAAACAGAAAATCAACTGTGTTTTCATAATGCAAGCAACACTTACCTTTAAGATCACTATTAAGCATATACAAACTAAAGAATAAAACATTTACAAAAAAGTTTTAGATCAATAAATTAAACAAAAATAAGGAAAACAGACCTAATGAGCAAGGATAAAAAATATGGTCGTTAAAAATCAGAGAAAGGAGCTCAAGAGATGGTTCACTGACTCAGAGCACAGGCTGCTCTTCCAGAAGCAGCTCACAACTGTCTGTAACTCAAGTCCCAGGAAACCCAAAGCCCTCTTTTGGGTTCCCTGGGCAACAGGCACAAACATGGTACACTGAGCTACACACAAGCAAAATACTCATACAAAGGAAAAAAAAAATGCCTTAAGCAAAAAATATAGGATACATAGACATGGAGAAAGGACTCCAACTCAGAAATGACCAAAAAAAAAAAAAAAAAAAGTTCTCCTAAAAAGAATAGTTATGGGACAAAATAATTTCATTTTGTATTTCTTTAGGGAAAAAAAAACAATATGGCTCTTTGAAATTATTTCAAAGAATAGAGGAAAGACAGACTTCTTACATGATGAAATAAGTAATTCAACAAGCACTTTGGGTCTAGGCCACTCTTAATACCTCTCTGGTAACACAGCGAACAGGAAGCCACAGCATGAAACAAGGGGAAAGATGTTATGTCAGTTATTTCTACCTCTTTGGCCTAATGGGCCAAGGCTAGAGCTAGCAAGATTCTAAGAGATGACAAAATCCATTCTATACCCCAAACCAAAAACTATTCCCACCCCACCTTGGCTCAATGGTTTTCTCCTACTGTGGTGAAGGTGGTTTTGGAAAAGCTTCTCAAATGCCAGAAAACAGTAATATAATAAACAAAACAACAACAACTTTTTATAAATACCCAAACATAACCAACATGTTGGCCTCCTCTCAAGAAGACAGGTATGTGAAAAGCACTCAGCTACAAAGCAAGTGAACCTCACACGTTCAGCATTCATCCTAAGCTGCTGTGCTGATTACAGATTACTTGGAAGGAGGTGGAGCAACACAGAGGAAAGTCCTGATGTCACTAAAAAAACATAATCTCTACCATTAACTGACCTAAAAAAATCAAGTCATCAAAGCAGGTGGAGGTGGCGCATGCCTTTAATCCCAGCACTCAGGAAGCAGAGACAAGCAGATCTCTGAGACCAGCTTTGTCTACAGGGCAAGTTCCAGAACAGCCAGGACTACACAGAAAAACCCTGTCTCAAAAAAAAGAAAATAAATAAAGTAAAAAAAATTAGTGGAACTGGGGGCTGGAAAGAGACACTCCTAATGATAAGCTGAAGAGCCGGTTGCAGCTCTTTCTGAAGAATTCCTCTTCAAATTAATCTGCCTTCTGCAACTGTTATGTAAATAATTATGACCAGAATAGCTGTCGCTAACTCCAAACTGCATATGAACAAATAGAATCCTGGCCTTGCCCTTAACTATCTCTTCTATAAAGTGGGGTAACACTGAGGTTTCAAAAACATCTTAAAAGCAATGTAATTTTGTCTTCTTCTAAAGCACAATTTCATTCAATCTCATAAAGGGGCTATAGAGATAGTTCAGAGGTTAGGAGCACTGGTTGCTCTTAAAGAGGACCCAGGTTCAATTCCCAGCACCAACATGGAAGCTCACAACTACCTTTAACTCAATCTCAAGGTATTCAACAACCTCTTCTGGTCTCTGGGGACAGAGATGTGATAAACAGACTTATATGCAGATAAAACACCCATGCACATAAAATAAATAAACTTTAAGTAGCAAATAAAAATGACTTTATTCACAGAAATGTGTTACTTTTAAGAACAACTTCATAACATTAACTTCTAACCAAAATCAGTAAGAACAATGGCTATTACTCAAACCTAGCTTTGGGATCCCAAGTGAAAGCAATTATACTACCATAAATCTAGCTTGTGAGATTAAATAAATTAATGAGAACAGTGGCAGGTTTGATGAATATAAAACATTAACGCTAGAGACAAATGGTAAAAGCTGAAAGCTCATACCTCTCAGTATTCATCTCTATTTTTTAAAATATTCTCTTTTTAATTTTCTGTTATGTATGTGTATGGGTTTGTGCACATGAATATAAGTGCCCATGGGGGCCAGAAGAGGGTGTTGGATTTCCTGAAGCTAGAGTTATGGGTGGGTGTGAGCTGCCTAATACAGGTGCTGTGAACCTAACTCAGGTCCCCTGAATTTTTCCAGTCCCTCTGTATTTTAACTACATTCTGAAATAAACCTAGTCCCAAACGGTAACTACAAAATGAACTCTACATTTTTCAAATCAGCCTTACTCCATGATACTATTTAATTAAAGAAGGAAAGGGTTTTACCTTCTGTGCATAAGAAAATAAAACTGGCAGTCAAGTGTTTAATGGCCTTCCAATTGGTTACAATTTAGTTACATTAAATAAGTTAGAAATCAGGTATTAATTATAGCAATTATTTACGCCCTTTAAAAGTTAGAACTAGGGTTGGGGATTTAGCTCAGTGGTAAAGTGCTTGCCTAGCAAGAGCAAGGCCCTGGGTTCAATCCTCAGCTCAAAAAAAAAAAAAAAACCCCATGGCATGTATTAACAATGGACTGTTATTCAGCAGTTTGTTTTTGTGTTTTTTTTTTTTTAAAAAAAAGTTAGAACTAGGCATGGTGGCACATACTTGCAATTCCAGCCCTAGGGAGACAGAGGCCTGCTCCAAGTTCAAGGCCATCCTAGTCTCCATAGCAAACACCAGGACAGCAGGGCTACATAGTAATGACATGTCTCAAAACACAGAAACAAGCAAATTTTTAAAAAGTTAAATCAGAATCAAGTGTTTGTAAAATCCAATTAGTGCCTTCATAGACTTTAAATTATATCTTGTTTTTTAAAATTAGTTTTCAACGTGCTTTGTATACTAACAATGAAAATGACCAGGTGTGGTCACATACAATTTTAAACCCTAGTACTCGGGAAGGGAGGCAGATGCAGACAGATCTCTGTGAATTTGAGGCCAGATTAATCTACTTATCAAGTTCTAGGCCAGCCTATAGAGTAAGATTCTGTCTTTAAAAGAAAAAAAAAATTGTGAGGGACGTTAAAAATTAACTAGGTCTTTTTAAAACAAGCCTGAAAGAAATTTTTCATTATCAATTCCTACTCACAATGCTAGAGTTATGAGCATAAATAAAAAGTAAAAAAGTAAGACTATTATAGGGAGAGCAAATCCTCAAAAGTGCTATGTTTCATCACTGCTCAGGAGTGTGGGCGTCAAGAAAAGAAAGGAAGGTACAGTATGCTCATCAACAGGGGTGTCGCCTCTTCAATGGCAATGACTGCTGTGCAAGCAACTAGGGTTCAACAGTGGACAAGATAAACATGATTCAGAAATTCAGACTCTGTAGATAAATGAAGAGTAACAACTAGGGGGTGGGGTCAGCATTTCTGAAAGACTGCTGGCTGCTTTGTGAAAGATCCTATAAACAGAGACAGCAAGCCCTAAAACAGAGACCAGTTTAGGAGCTGGTGTAGCGTAACAGTGGCTACACTGAGAGAAACCCCACTTCAGGGGAGTAGTACTAGAGCACAATCTTAAGGGATAAGCAATTAGCCAAAAGGAGGTGAGGGAAAGAACTGAACATAACCATGTAAAAGACATGCTTATGAAATGGTCTCCACAGAAGCCATGAATGAGCTAAACTACAACTAAAATAACAGTAAAGCTGAAAAGGATATTCTCTAACAAAGAACAGACACCTAATCACTCAAATAAGAACATTATCTTGCCAACAGGCATAACTGTCTCACAGTCCAAATCTAGCAACTCATGTTGACAACCAAGTATGATCCAACCCAGCAATCTAAGCTTTAGAAAAGAACTGATTCTACAAAGCTGTAGCTGCACTACTGTTGCACTAAAACAAAACGGGGGTGGGGGGTGTCCTCTCCCCTCTGGCTGAAACACTGAAACTGTAATTCTATCAGGAGATAATAAAGCAACTACGAGAATGGAGTAGAAACAAACTTATTTCATTAAAGCACTTTTCTACTTGCCAAGTACACAGTTAGTTCCAACCCAGGCAGTAACAGCTAAGCTACTACAGCTCCTGACAAGCAGCTCAACAACTGGTTACATTCCACAATTCCACATACAACACTAAGAAAACAACCAACAAAGCTAGGTAAAGCAAGGCAAGCTATCAATGACAAGCTCTCACTGGCTTCTTTGTTACTTTAAAAGAGCTCTCAAGTTGGGGGTGAGGGGTGGCAAAGCATTTAATTGCAATTGTCAGGAGGCAGAGGCAGGTAGATATGTATGAATTCCAGGATAGCCAGGATATAGTGAGAACCTGTCTCAAAAAAACAATAAATAAATTTTTAAAAAGAGCTGGTCTTTAACATATCATCTAAGCAAGAGTGGGAAGGAGTACTTGCTGTTTCACAAAAAAACTTCTGATCAGTGAACTAGAGAAGGTCTTGATTCATATGTGCCAAGAGACAAAGCACTTCAATTTAAGAAAATGTCCTACCTTTCCAGGATCATCCTTGGATCGAGGCACTTTAAGGAAACATTTGTTCAGTGACAGATTATGTCGTATGGAATTCTGAAATTAAAGAAGAAAACCATTGCTGGGTCAATGAACTATGAAAAATTCTACCCCATCTTTAAATACAAAATAAGAAACCTATATATTTCTATGAATTGAAATACAGTTACAAATAGAGCTAACTTTTAATATGTGCTTCAGGGGCTGGAAAGTTGACTCAGTGGGTAAGAGTGCTTGCTGCACTTGCAGAAGAGCAGAGTTTGATCTCAGCACCCAAATCAGGCAACTCACAACCAAGTAAAATTCCTGCTTCAGAAAATCCTATGCCCTGTTCTGGGCTCCAAGAGCACCCACCCCAACATGCACATACCTATACAGACTCGCATACATACACATAAATTTTTTAAAAATATACAAACAAATGAGCTTCCAAGTTAAACCTTTCTGGTTTTCAAATTAAGTATAGCATATTGTAAATGAAAACAGGTTATTAGAATCATCAATTCCTAGCAGATTTAATAACGGGGTGTGTGTGTATGTGTGTGTGTGTGTGTGTGTGTGAGAGAGAGGGGGGGGGGAGAAGCATTTAATTGCTTACAAACTTTACTGGTGCAGAAAGATGCCTATGATGCAATACTAAACATTAAATATCAAACACAAAATTGTACACATATGCTTTAACTGTGTGTGTGTGTTAAGATTTATTTTATATGTGTGAGTGTTTTTATCTGCACGTGTCTGCACACCATATGCATGCATGCCTGGTGCATACAGAAGCCAGAAGAGGGCATCAGATCCCATGGAACTGGAGTTACAGGAGACGGTTTTGAGCCACCAAGTAGGTACTGAGAACTGAACCCAGGTCTTCTGGAAGAGCACCAAGTGCTCTTAACCTCTGAGTCATAATTTCAACCTCTTAACTGTGGTTACTTACATGTTTGTTTATTCTTGGAAATAAATAAGGATGCCAAATGTCAGAAGCTACTCTACATAGGCTTTTAGGTGGTCGCTATATTCTTTTTACTTTCCTACAAGGTCCACGTATTACCACTTTTAAAGTGGTAATACGTGGACCTTGTAGGAAAGTGCTGAAGCCCAGGGATACAGCACACCAGGAGAGAAAGCACTTGCTCAGCATGCACAAGTCAGAGTCACTCTCCAGCATTCCAACAAAACAAAGTGTAAAATTCCACTGCACTAGAGGTAAGCTTGGAATAGGAACGTTTAGGAGAAAAACGATCATATGGTAAACACATAGTTCAGAACCTTAAATTAAATAAATTAGGCAAATACAGATATTGTTTAAATGATACTATTGGGGCTTTCACAAGTAGCTATAGCCATCTTTGAAATAATGTTTTCTGAAAAAGATATAATCACACCAGTTTACCTATACCTATATGAACTGAGGCCCTTTCTTTCACCTTGAAAAGCTGTTTTTAAACTAAATAGCTAATTTTTTAAAAATACGTGTAAAAGAGATTCGGTTTAAATATAGGTAAAAGAATGTATCTAAACCGGGCGGTGGTGGTGTACGCCTTTAATCCCAGCACTCGGGAGGCAGAGCCAGGCCAATCTCTGTGAGTTCGAGGCCAGCCTGGGCTACCAAGTGAGTCCCAGGAAAGGCACAAAGCTACACAGAGAAACCCTGTCTCGAAAAACCAAAAAAA